GGTTTGTTCTAGTGATGGAAACTACCACTTACTTCCCCTGCTCGACCTCAACCTCCAGTAAGATTTCCACATGGTTGGCTGGGAATGGAAGCATGCGTTACAGGGATTTGTCGCGCTCCGAGCCCTGAATATTTCCAAAATGCAAATCCCTAAGCGCTCTAAAGCCTAAACCCCTAAGCCCTAAACCTTAAACCCTAAAGCAGAGGCAGTCTACCTTGCATCGCTGGCATTTCTGATGCTCCTGACCTCAGCGATTCTCTCAGGACGTGAGGCTCGCACAGCTACATGTGATGTTCTCTCCAAGTAAAATGTAGGGGTGTAAATACTTTCGATAATGTCGCCCTGGAGTCCTTGTACAGTCATGGTGTAGGGTGCCTCAAGTAGACCTCAAGATGATACCGCCCATCCTGTATAGTCCTAAACCCTAAACCCTTATAGTTGTTTAGGCGCCTCTCTACCCTTCCCAGGAAAATGGAAGCCCATCTGCCCTTTTCCAACGAGTTAGGGTTAAGGGTTACGGTTTCGGTAGTCTTTGCAAGGTCCCCTTTTGGGGCTCCGTGTTACGGTAATTTAGAGGGGCTGTGCTGTGATTTGAGGATATGGGGATTGTTGGAAACGGGGGAGCCTTTAAAGGGGTTTGTAGGGTCATGTAGGAATATATAGGGATGTTTGGGTGTTTACAAGATAACTAGGGTTACTCTGGATTCTAGGGATTATTCACCTACTTACGAAGTCCCCTGACCCTCCAAGTAGTCTCTGATAACTACTAGTACTGTAGAGCACGCTACTGTGTCGTAAAATGCCAGCTCAACCCGATAAGGGTACTTGAGAAGTGCAGACAAGTACCAATATGATCTTCCTACGTCCTACGTGGGCCCTCAAATTAGATTCTGTTCGAAGTGCCTATGTCCTTGAGCCCAAGCGCCCACACGCCTAAGACAACCGTGCACCCTCCACCTTACCTGTGACCCCAGTTACTTACAGTTTGATGGGTTATACCTACTTATTAAGGGGTAATTACTATTAAACTGTAGGTAATGGGGGTTACAGGTAAGCCCTATAGACCAACTACCAAGTGTGCCTAAATGCGCAGGCTTGGATCTCTCAACCATCAGGTGACGTGGCCTGGGTGCAGTTATCGGATACACTGCCCTAAGGGTCCAAGTACCTAATCACTAATCATATACTTAACCAAAACCTGTACCATAATTACTACTACTCAAGATCCCAAGTACCTAATTATTGGGTACGTGGACCCTCCGGGCTACACGTCTCTGAGAGGTCCATGGATTGGATTTGGGGTTCACAGAAACTCAAAAGCCGAGCCACACCAATAAAGCCCAGATACGCAGTTTGCAGGTCCAAGGGAGGGTCTGTATGTCGAGATCTATGTATACTCAAAACCAAGGCTGCGTGTATAGGGGTCCTTAAAAACCGACACCAGAAACAACTTATGTCAGCACTATCCATGGGCCATATCAACTGAGGAGAGGTGGAGCACCACCGATGACATGCACTTTGTGCCCAACCGCCCCAGAAGATACAGCCCCCGCCTCAAGCAGAAGGGGTTTTGGAAGTTTTATAGGGTGCAGGTTGAGGGTTTTGGGTTCTGCACTTAGACTTTCGGGGTCTAGAGCGGAGGGCTTCGGGCAAAGAGCTTCGCGTTCAGTTTGTTTAGGGTTGTGGCTGGGTGTTGAGAAAAGGGCATCTGCTGCGTGGGTAACCCGCACACGCTACACTGCTACACTGTAATTTTGAGCTTCCTATCTGGAAGGTTTCCACACATGGTGGCTATTGTAAACTCTGTGACTTTGAAGGAGCCAGATGGAGACAAAGCAGCTGTGGTACATAGACGGGCATAGATCTAATGTCACCATGCGGGCGTTGAAAGGACACGGTTCCAGGTTTAGTAAGTTTTCTGCTACACACCCATTGCCTTCCTCGGGTAGGAGCAGCCCTACTGCCTACAGCTGTGCCGGCTATGAGAAGTTGTGCGTTTGTTCTATGCATCCCCTCCGCCTAAAATTAAAACCCCGCATTCCCATAATATCAAACCTTCCCATTGTGGTGTGTATATGTATGCAGGGAATATTACTGTTAGCGGGGTTTTGATATTAGTGGGAGGGGATTTCATGCAGGCCCTTAGCCCTCCACCCAGTTATCTGATCCTTGACCACCCCTACTACCCTCCACGCCACCCAAGGTTGTTAACTGAAGCCTGGGGGGACGTGTGGGGTGGGAGTTAGGAGAACACATGAGCCTCTACCCTCCCTATAACCCCAATTACCTACAGCTGTATGGGTTATAACACTGAACTGGCGGCTGATAACTATTAAGCTGTAGGTAAGTGGGAGCACAGGTAGAGCCTCAATCGTATCCCTAAACCCTAAACCTTAAACCCTAAACCCTAAACCCTGAACCCTAAACCCCAGGCCATCACTACCAACATCATGCTGCCAACCCAAGCTTGGACAATCGCACCTGGAGTCCCGGAAGGGCTGTTTCAGGCGGGTGTCTCGGGCTTGTGCAGCTTTACAGAGGTTTGTATGGGTATACCCTAGAAGCCCAGGTACCCATATAGTAGGTCCTTGGGTTATAGATAGTATAAATTTATATAGGGACTTAAGGACAGGAACCCAATATATAGGTAACTGGGCTTCCAGGGATATAGATATATATATATATATTTATAAAGGGTTATGTAGGGTTGCGTGAGGTTATAGTCTCCCTCTAGTAGATAGAATATGGCTTAGGGTATATCATAATAAGATCCCCAAATACCCCCTGTTCTATCTATTTACGGCGACTATATGTACCGTGGTATAGGGTTACATCGGGGCCTTATGGAAGTCGGCCCTAGAGCTTTCCCTGGGCTTACTGTATCTGCTTATCGGCGGTACCAGGTTAAGGGTTTAGCTCTCGGCTGGTTTCGATAATTCCGGAAAGGTTCACAGCACATGTTCCAAGCAACGTGCTAAGTCCCGAAGTGTGTATTGGGGGCATGCGTGAGTTCGTGAGATGCGTGTCGTACGGCTTCCAGAGATGGCGGAGTTCAGCAGTACCGGTTGGGTACTGCCCCCCACGCTGTAACAGTTGGAGAGTGTGTTTAACATAGATATATACATATATATATATATAGAGCCATTTATATATGACCCGCCATATAGACTGTTGCAGGGTGGGAGCAGTAGGTTCAAGAAGTGTGCGCCTGTGGTGTGGGCTGTGTGGCCAGTACCAACATCATGGCCCAGGAATGAAGGGTGTCCCCGTGACTATACAATTGGGTTTAGGGTTTAGGGTTTATAGAAGTGGGGGGCACGGCAGGCAGATTTGGCTTTCCTACAAGATGGTCATGTTCTGAAACAGCTCCATCGGCCCGTGCAACTCATCCTCCCCCAAACAAACAGACGTGGAAACCCAAACAGGCTTTTTCTTCGGCTGCACTGTAGCCTTTGTACCTGGACCCCCAAAGTATGCAACATAATAGCCCTAAATCCATAATAACAGCCATTAAGGCCACGATTTTGCGTACTTGTGGGGTCTAGGTAAGCCCTCTTAGATTTTCAGGAAGGTATGTAACAGAAGACGGATGAAAGAGGCACCTGAGCCTTTCCGGCACCCCAAATTGATTGGAATCATAGCTTTCCCTAGGGCTCCAGTTACCTAAATAGTGGGTTCTGGGTTCCATACACCTCATAGCTACATAGACCAGTAACCTACTAGTTAGGTAGCTGGGAGCCCTAGGGTTTGTTGACCACGATTTGATGGAATCTTGACATTGTTTCATTGTTTTACGTAAGCCCTGCTACACCCTAAACCCTTAACTTTGGGCAATTTTAAAGCGACCTCTCCCTACATTGCGGTTTTTGGTAGGTAATAGTGCCCAAATGGCTTTACATTGGGAATTCAAATCATTCAAACATTACCCTGTCAACCCTAAACCCTAAAGCCTAGACCCTAAACCCTAAACCCGGTCAACCCTAAACCAACACTTTGGCCCCCAACCGTGGCCTGGACCTGCCACTTGCAGTGTCTTGGCTTTCTGAAGGTAAGGGTTTAGGGTTTGGGGGGTTTAGGATTTAGGGTTTGGGGGGGTTTAGGATTTGGGGTTTGGGGGGCTTAGGATTTAGGGTTTGTGGTTTATGATTTAGGGTTTGTGGTTTAAGATTTAGGGTTTGTGGTTTAGGATTTAGGGTTTGGGGTTTAGGATTTAGGGTTTAGGGTTGCTGTCCAGTAGAGTTGCCTAAGGGTCCAAGGACTCAATTATGAGCAGTCTGGATTCCTTAAAGCGGGGGTTCTATAGGGGATGATATAGGAGAGTATTCTAGGCATGACTAAGGGGAATGCTAGGAGTTTAGACACTAGCTCGCATGATGGTTTTAGGAACCAGGATGCCATAACCTACATTGTTTTCTGGTACCTAAGACTGTTACATTTGTGTAGTTGGTCCTTTGAGGTTGGTCCTTTTCGGCAGGGTTTGGTTCATGCAGCGATTTTTGTCAGGGTGCGAGGTGATATAGGATTTGGGGTTGGCGTTACTGTTCTGTAGCAGCAGGAGACCCCGTTGAGGACCTAAGGAGTTTCTCATGGGAAGTAGGCAAAGTAGGATGGCTTTAAACTGTCCAGTAAGTGAGGTGAGTTCTGCGGGTAAGTGAAAATCTCATAATCGGAGGTTCATGTAGAAACCGCCACAAGGATCCGTTCCTTCATTCCCAACAAAGCATGAAGGAGAGGAGGCATGGAGAGAACCCAGTGTGCCGATTCAGTAGGAATAGCATGGACATGAACAATCCAAGGCTCAAAACCCTCTTCTCCCTCAAGATACCAGAATGCCAGGTTAAAAGAGGCCACTGGTCCATGCACTGTTGGGGTTGCATGCTAGTTTTGGGGAGAGTATACCACAATCCCTCAATTCCCAAAACACTGGCTCCTGAACCCCCCCCGGACTCGGCTGATACCTTGCGAGCCCCAAACCATCGGACGGAGGCATCGAAGACTTCATGGCCAACGTGGAAGAAGGAGTGCGAGCTGTGAAGCATGAGGCCTTTGCGAGAAGTCCTGCGAGGGAAGTGAGCGGGATGTTATCAGAGCAAATCAATACCAACACTATGTCAGCGCTTGTTTGATGCGCTGCCTGCCAAAATTGCAAACAGAACCTGGGACTATTCTATTCCCTAAACTTCCGCCACCTGATTTAACTGGGGAGTTGCTAATTCACTCGTTTAACTGGTGGGCCCAGATTTGTCCTTCCTCTAGCTCAGCTGGAAGGCTTTGACCGATCCAACTCAGTGGCCGATGTAAACCACACATACAGAACAAGTCAGGGCAAGCCCGCAGATTCTGCCAAGAAAGACCACGCGCGTAAAAACACCGAGAACAAAAGAAACAACACAGAAAACCGTAAACCAACCCAAAAACTGTAAAACCTATCAGCAGCGAAGACAGCATGGAAACTCGGGCACTCGAACAAATCAAGCCAACTGCTTCTGCATCAGTATTGCGCAGTCATGCCGCGCGTAGGTCAGAGCCACTGCTCGAAGAATCAGTTTTCACAGTGGTTTCAGTTTTCTGCCTGGTTTACTTTTATATAATATTGTAGTTTCCATTTTCTTTTCCAGTATCCTTATATAACCCCATATATACCCTATGATCCCAATATAACCCCAATAAAGTCCCAAGAAGCACCTCGTGAAATTGGAGGGTTGGAGCCCTACAGGGTACTGGTACTTACTCAAGCGACCACATTATGTCATGCGAGAAGCTTTATAAACAGTGTTCCCTTTGGATGAAATCCGCTTACGTTCTTCTTTTGGGCTCCTGGTATTTGGCAACAAAAATGGCCGTACTCGGCTTGAACCGGCTTAACGCAACTACAAACTGGGTTGCTGTTAAGGTACTAGAATAAGGAACCCCTACTTCTTATTCTATATCCTGAGGGTTTAGGGTTTAGGGTTTAGGGTCCAAGGACCCAAATAACAGGGTTTTAGGGCCCAACTACCATTAACATTACAGTATCTGGGCCCTAAAACCCTATGATTTGGGTCCTTGGACCTTAGGGATATCCATATTATGGTAACTTAATCTATAAGGTCCTGAGCAGCGACCCACCCAGGGCTGTTCATCTAAGATCAGGATCGACGGGTTAAGGGCTCAGATCCAGGGCACAGGGTCTCTGTACTCGAGATTGGACAGAGAACCCTTCAAATTCACTTACTGGTGCTTTCTACGGATCAAGGCAATAGAATCCCCTAATTATCCCTGCATACTATATGCCCATAGTCCCTACCTGGACCCCCAAAATAGGTAAAATAATAGCCCAAAACCCATAAATATAGCCAAAAAGGCCATTATTCTACATACCTTTGGGGGTTTAGGTACTTATACCAAGTTGTTAAAGGTCTTCTTGAGTGGTGCACCCTAAACCGCGTATGGAGGCAGCATCAAGGGTTTGTTCCCAGGGTGTCACATGGGTCTTTCCCAAAATAAGAGTCCCACTTTGGTACTCCCTGAATATTAGGTGCCGTAATCTACCCATACTTTTGGGAGGAGCTAAGGAGCTAGGGATAGTCTATATCAATATAATAAGGGGAGCTAAAGAGCCCAGGAATCTCCAAAACCATAGGGGAGTAATGTGATCAATAGCCAAAAGGGGCCCAGAATTTTGAGAACAACCCACATAGTGACTTTGATGAAAGTTTCAGTTTCGTAAAGCTGTAGGTCAAATTTGGCATCCTGGACTTGCGGAACATTTTTGCGCAGTGGTGGGGGGGGGTGGAAAGGAAGGGACACTGAGGTAGAGAAAACTTTCAGAAGTGGCTGCCACGTTAAAAGCCTAAACCCCGGACTCCAAAACCTAAACCGCCTGACTTCCCTAAATTTGTCCCAGAGCCTTAGACCCCCAAAACCCCACAAAAGCCCTTCAAGCCCTACACAGCCAACCAGCAAAAACCCTAAATTTGGAGTGGCTCATCGTCCCCAGGCGTTGAGTTTCAAGCACTTCGCATAAGCCTGCCTAGGGTATGGGTTTTCAGGGTTTAGTTTAGGTTTCAGGGCAGACCAATTCCCCCAGTTTAGCACTGCATGGTTGCTAGGCACGTAAGATTTGTGGTTGGGGTTCTGGGTTTCTGTAAAGGCTACTTGGCGGGGCCCGGGGACCCATTACAGATTCTACTACAAGTCCCAGCACCAAACCAGGAAATTGGGTTCATGGACCGTCAGGGCTGCACATTGTTTTGAACTATCTCAGGTCCAGGGCCAAAACCCCAGTCCCCAAACCTCAAAACTCTGAAGCATTTCCATTACCTACGGATTAGTGCGTAAGTATACCTGCTAATCAGCAGGCACGGCGTCATAACCAGTATAAAGCTGTAGCTAACTGGGGTTACAAGTAAACCCTCACGCCATGTGTGCGCTATTCTAAACTCCTTAAAGTGGGTTGCATAGGGGATTATATAGGGTATTTTTATAGGGCTGATTCAGAGGGATACCAGGAGTTTAACCTAGCTCATGTCATGATGGAGGCGGAAGCTCTACGCCAGCCATTTGTTGCAGCTGGCGAGGCATGACCGTGGGCCCTGTGTAAGGTTCATGTTTAGGGTTTAAGCTCAAAGATAGGACATTTGTAGGTCGCGAATATAGCATGGCTCTTATAATATTGGAGTTCAAAAGGAGCCCCCTGAACATCAAAAACTTGCAACACGTGGACCGGAACGGGTAACCCACAAGAGATGACGATGTAGAATTAGATTGGATAAGAGATGCAGTTGAACCAAACTGGACGTCTGGCTTTGTACATGTAAAGCTTCAATTAAAGCTTGATGGAATCTTTGCACGGGCTCTGATTTTGTTTTGCCTGTACTGCTACGACATGCTGTGAGCAGGATTGCAGTTATTTGCGGCCCCACGGGCAAATTTGCAGTTCAGGAGCAACCTGTAACCCCGATTACCTGCAGATTTATGGGTTATGCCTACTAGTCAGGGGGTAATAGGTGATTCGGTTACAGTTAGACCCTAGCCACAAACCGTATAAACCAGTACACAATCTCAGTGTCCATTTCATGTTCCATGTGCGTTTTTCATATGATTCTCCATTCTGGGGGGGATATTCCCCCTGAATCCTATATCATCCTATATCAACCCTCATGTAACCTGTTTGAAGGGACCAAATTCCAGCCCCACCCGTCAAGGAGTGGAACTCCAGAAAGAGAAGCTACACCCTAAGCCCTGAACCCTAATTCCAACCCTAAATCCTGAATCGCAGGAGTGGAACTCCAGAATGAGAAACTTTATGCAGGAGCTCGAACAGCAGGCCAATCAGATCGGATTCATTTTTTGGGTGATTCCCAGAGAGCCCAATACCCCTTCTTACTTAGCCAATCTTTGAACCTTAGACTTGTTGGGCTTCCTTTTTGGGTCTCTAAAACAGAGTTTAAACGTGTTTTTACCTTGGCTAGTGGGGAAGAGAGCCTTAATTAAGGAATATATACTTTAAATCATATAAAGGGTCCTGGTATATTGAAGGTATATTCCGTAATTAAGGCCAATTGGGCTGTGGGTATACAGTTCCCTAAGGGTCCACGGCCTCAAATATGAGCTATAGTCTAACTCCTAAAGGGGGGGTTGTATAGGGGATTATATGGGGGAGTATTGTAGGGGTCATTAAAGGTAATACTATATGAGTTTAGGCTATAGCTTTTTTTGGGGGGGTGTAGGCTTGAACATGGTTTTGTCAATGTGAGTGTCCCTCGTTCCTATGTCAGCCCTATATACGCCATTAACAGACAATTTTTATGGGGCCCCCAAACCTATGCTGGTATGGTAGTTTGGGGCTCCAGGGCCCACGTGGGGAGTCTGATTTCAACTTGCGTCTTGACGATCTTGAGACATTAAGGGGAGACGAGTTGGGAAGTTTCTACTTTGTTTGACATGGATCACATGCTTGACTTGCATACGTGGAAGCAATAGCGCAGGATTCTCCACGATCTCACAAGGTTTGTTGTTAACGGTCAGATTCTGAAAGTAAGCGCGAAAATGGAGCATGCTGTATTTCCTTAAGCCCTCAACCGTAGCCCCAAAACCTTAACCCCTAACCCTGTTACCCTAAGCCCTCGATCCCAAACCCTAAACCCCAAAGCATGTTACCCCAAACCCTAAACCCCAAACCCTAAACCCCCAGCCTTCCCCAAACCCTAAACCCTTAAGCCCAAACCCTGAGCCCTGTTATAAGTATAAACCTTAAGCCATTACCCCAAAATAACCCCAATATAACCCTTGTATGTTATAGTAGTTTTCATTTTCCATTATTCCAACATAACCCTAAACCATACATAATCCTTATATAATTACCTTAGAAGCCTCCCTAAACCCTATATAATCCTTATAGAATTACCTTAAAAACCTTAAACCCCATACAGCAGCTGACACCTGAGGTGAGGCAACCCATCTTGGAAGCCGCCGAGCGCTTCCAGGAGCCTAGGGTTTAGGGTTTAGGGTTTGTGGATTGGGTTTTAGGGTTTAGGGTTTAGGGTTTGGTTTAGGGTTTGGGGTTTAGGGTTTAGGGTTTTGGGGTTTGGGGTTTAGCGTTTGGAGTTTAGGGTTTAGGGTTTGGGGTTTAGGGTTTGTGGTTTGGTTTAGGGGTTGTGGTTTGGGGTTTAGGGTTTAGGGTGTAGGGCTTCTAATCTAAGGGCTTTAGGGCCTCGATTGAGGCATGAGGGTCAAGGTTACGGATGTACAGGATTTAGAGTGAGACGCTTAGGGTTTAGGATCCCCCAAAGTAGCCTCAAAAGGGATTCATGTATGTCCTATTTGGGAGTATTCGGGCTGTATAGAGGGTGCTTTACGGGTGCAGGGTGTAGGGTTTGACGTTTAGGGCTGGCGTGCTCTTGATTTTCTATGTAGCCTACTCTTCCGAGGTAGTGCCTCCCCGCAAAATTTGCCTCTGGTAGTTTCCCTTTCCCGATATACACCGCAAGCTATGCTAATCCTTACGTATTCTAAGCGGGCTTTCCTGCATGGTTTCACAGTCTGGTGCTTGGGGTCTAGGGTCTAGAGCTTCTTGGTCAGCGTGAGGGATCGTTTGTACTTTGGGGTCTGGGGTTCCATGCATAATATATATATATATACATATATATGAACAAAAAAAGACATCTGTTGTCCTTCCTCATTCTTCCTGGGCACTACTAGTTACCTGAACCTCTGTGGTTCATGCTAAAAGTTGGGACTGGCCACTGAGTCTCAGGTTTTCATGTGGTGGCCTAAATCCTGTGTGACATGAATGGTATAATCATCATTGCTGCTTCCAACCAATCACTTTTCATCTCAGGCTTGTTCACCAGGCTGAAGCAACAGCATTTTTGTACAATTCAATCGTCCTCAAGGCAACATGCTTGGCATGAACACTTCGACTAAGTGTTGCCACGCGGTTGATAAAGTCTTCGGGCATCTGGCAACTGAAGCTGAGGGGATTCAATGCCATGTTGCCATCCTGCAAGTCCTGATCCAACTTCCAGACCACATGCATCAGCATGTGAAATTTAGGATTGAGCTTGAAGCGAGCCAGGTATCTAGCGTGTGCCAGCCCAGCACAAACTCGGTAGGATCTCAACATTGTCTTGCCATATCGCACCACCCTGCTCAACCGAAGTCGTGAAATGAACAACCCACTTCGGTAAAGTGTGCTCAGAAAATTGTTGGAAGCTTCAAGGGCTCAGAGGATCTCCTTGAAGTAGGGAGCTTCAGTTTGCAGATTCCCTTCTCCCAAGACAGTCTTGTATTTGAAGGCGAGGTACTTCATCACAACGGTTGTGTCAGCCCCCTTAAACCACTGCCTCAGAAAAGCTGTAGAGCAAGTAATTGCCTATAGTAAATATACCCCAAAATTTAAATCTAGCTTTAAAGTTTTCCCAGAAATCTAGCCCAGCATCCCTGATGGGAAATCCGCATGCGATTTCCAAACCAGAATTGTGCGAGTCAATCCCACCATATGAAGATAAAGGTCCTGCTGCCTTGCGAACTCCTTCATCTCCACAAAGAGATGCTCAAGACATTTGATTGCGCCAGTTGCGGGAGAACCGGAAACGCAGAAGTCGAGCAGGGTAACCTAGAATTGCTTCAGGGGAATCCTTGTAAACCATGTCAGATTGTGCTTATAATCCTATTCTTGCAAAATACTCGTACAAAAAATCTAAAGCAGGCATGCAGAGAGTCAATGGCTGAACCGGCAAGGTCAGCATGAACACCCTTGTGGCAAGTATGAAAGAGGTCCACCAGAACAAAAGTTGGCTTCATGTTAACCTCCATGGGGATTTTGAAGGTCAGGGATGACTCCTTTCCATCGAGCCAGGGCTTCGTAGCAGTGGCGATGGTGCGAACCCAGGGGGCCGTTGCAAAATCATCTTCATGCCACGAGGGGCAGATGCTGGTATTAGCCATGCATAAGTGACAGATTCCTTGGCCAAATGGGTAGGCTTCTCTACGAAAGTGTCGGTAGAGTTGTCCAAGCTTATCCAGGGCCGGCCAGTCTCCTTTTAATCCTATGACAGCTACGCGCCATGTCTTCTCGGGGCCGCCATGCCATCTCAACCGTAGGCCAGTTGTGAATAATGATCGCAAATCATCGGACCAGATATCCAGAAGCTTGTGCAGTGGAGCAGGGTCTTTGCTGTAATGTTTCTTGATCATGACTGAGAAGAGTTGCCGGGTCTTGAATGTATTTCCTGTAAAGTTCATCTTCAATGATTCGGAGGCTGTGACATCATCTTCTTGCTCGCAACCATTGCCCAAAATGGGCTCGGACCCCAGAACCATGATGGCACTTTTTTTGAAACCTCTCCCTTCATCAGCTATCAGGTATATTGGAATAGTTCGGGATACATCATCAGCAGGAAGGGAAAAGATGGGATGATGCGGTCTAAGTGCTTGCCACTTCCCCCAAAATTCAGACAGGGAGCTGCCACCAGTGAGATTCTCCAGTTTACCATGCACTGCCAGGGCACGAACATAGTCACTGAAGAATAAAACAGGATGTAGTTCCTCCAAGCCCACATCCACAGTAGAAAGCGGAATGGGGGCCTGAACTCCAGGAGTCTCTGCCACAGCATTGCGAGCAACAGCAGCTGCATGTCCCGTAGCAAAGCCCCGACTGAATGACAGTAGAAGCTTCGAAGATGCAAGCTGGGTAACTGCATCCCCCCCAAAACTTGTAGTCACCTCTTCAACGAAAGCGCTTGCTATCTCGGACGCCTGCTCATGAGATACCTCGGTCAATTTTGTCATGTTCAAGGCCCAACTACTAAACCCCAGACCCATAACCTAACAACTTAAATAAGACCAGCTATACACACACACCCAACACAGATCCCCCAATCCTGAATTCAAGACTCTATAACAATTGCTACAGGTCGGCTATCTCCAGAAGAGTCTGGGATGATGAATCCAAGGCACTGCGTGGGAGAGTGTTCTTTTATAAATTCTTACTCATGCTAGTGGGTTGGAAAGACTTGGCCCAGGGTCTCTATAGTTATAACTAGGATTGGGTATACCTTTGGGGAAGAATTCTTATAAGTTATGATCATGGTCAAGGCAAGTCACCCCCTTTGTCAGGGCTTTAGCAAGAGTAACTGCTATAGGTCCAGGTGTCGAGGTTGAACTTGTCGCATCTGATTCGCGTAATTGCGATAGAGTACCTGCAGGAAAATCCCAAGAGGTAACAATCAATATAGTTAATTGCAGGGTTGTGCGTGCTCAGTAGTGCAATTGCAGTGCATATATGTATGCATGCACACTATTTGATTTTCCCGCTCGCACCGAACTTGGCCCCGATCACACAAGAGCTGGTAGTGCAACTCTAGCTATGTCCATGACCCCGCAGGCAAACCTGCAGGCACTAATTTGCTGCAGCAATTGCTGCCAGAACCCAAACATACATGAACCGTTCAAATCAAAACAGATCTCGCTCACTTCGACTTTGCCTTCCTGCCAGGCTTGCTCTTGGCCTTTGCCTTCGGAGCAGCCTTCCCAGAGTCCTTGGCGGGCTTCTTGTTCTTCTTGTTGGACAGCACAGTCCTGATTTTGAAGCAGGTTTGGAGGGGTATTTATTGGGCTTGACTGGTCTACTTGGGGATATAATATGAGGGCCGCACTTTTTGATTTTGTTCTCCTCCAGGGCCAAACGGCTGATCCTTGTTGGCAAGCATCCCAGACCAGCATTTTAAGCACAGGGTGGTTTCTCTAAGGATTTATACTCCCCATGTAATCTGATCAGGTTTCCACATGTTCGGGTGAAAGATGCATTGCAAAACTACAAATACCCCAAGGCAAAAAACTATAGTAGTTCGAATATCATTCGAAGGGAATTCAACGATGAAGACTACAACATATAACACTGGCCCCAACTTTTAAACAATACTCTTGAAATAGGTATATATAGGGGCTTGGGGTCAATTCTTCACAGTCATAGATTACGCCTTTTAGTGTAAACATTTCCGCGCTGAAATCTGCTGAGCAACAGCTTGTTGACCTTCGCAAGCAGACTTGCCAAGGTCCTTGGCTATCTCTTCTTTGGATTCGCGGGCAAGTCTCAACAAGGACTGCAGACTGAATTTATGTTGCCGAGGTTCTTTTGGTCAATTGCCTCATCGGAATCATGCTGAGACTTCAGATCCGCTAGCTTGTTGTGCTTATCCGAAAGGTCCAGCAGCATGGAACGAACCTTTTCCACAGACCTTAAGTGAAAGCCATGCAGGATTGCAGGAAACCTGACGCAACAAACTTGGGTGTGCTCAATCTATTCGAGTAGCGGATGCGCATTCTCCTCATCACCGCAACGCTGCAGGAGCTTTTCAGTCCTGGAATGCTGCTTCAAGATCTCGTCGAGTATCTGCGGCAGGCCATCCACATCCTTGCAGGGCAACATGTGGGATCATGTGCACATGCACTTTTGAGGGCAGTTGCATGCATGTGGGAGTTTGTATACACCCTAAGAAACAGCAGCCTCCTCTGGAAGCTCTTCCTCAAACGATGGGGCTTTCTTGACCTTTCCGCGCTTGCCTCGAGGTTTCTTGCTGCAAGGTGCTTCCTCTTCCTCATCATTCTCCATCTCCTCCTCATCCTCCTGAAGACTCTGGATGTCTTCATCATCTGTAGGCGGCCCAACCTCTTCCTCCGAATCATCGTCTCCTTCATCGCCTCTCCCTGAACCCTTTGAAAGTCCTAGGGGGCACGCCTTTGTCAGATCATCACCCAACTCCGTCTCACGTGTAAGCCTCTCCTCCTCACCTGTGTTGCGCTCGCCATCATAACCAATCTCCGCCCAAAACCAGAGCAATTTCCTCTGATACTTGTCCCGCCTGTCCAATATTCAGGGACAAAGCGAAAACAAAGGGACAGCATAGCAAGCTCCATGTAACATCATTCACCCACCCTGCCTGACGTGGCTCTTGCGGTTCTCAGGTCGGAGGCAGAACTTGCG